ACATAACCGTCAAATGAAGCAAGAAGCACTGGGCTAGGAGACCCTTCTGAAGGGAACACAAAACGGAGATGTTTTTGGATCACGAAGAGGTATTAGGATTTCTCACCAGCTCCCGCCACACCAAAAATAAACATTAAAAGTTCATCAGCCAAAACCGGTTTGGCTCAGTGGATAGAGCATCGGCCTGTGAACTGAAAGGTTGCAGGTTCGATTCCGGTCAAGGGCATGTGCATTGGTTGCAGGCATTGGTTGTGTGCAAGAGGCAGCTGATTGATGTTTCTCTCTCATCGATGTTTATAACTCTCTATCCCTCTCTCTTCCACTCTGTAAAAAAAAAAAAAAAAAAAAAAAAAAAAAAAAATATATATATATATATATATATATATATATATATATATATATATATATTAAAAAGAAGAAAAAGAAAGTCTTTAAAAAAAAAAAGTTCATCAACCCTAACCGGTTTGGCTCAGTGGATAGAGCATCGGCCTGCGGACTGAATGGTCGCAGATTCAATTCCAGTCAAGGTCCTCTCTGTTAAAATTCAATTAAAAATATATATTTATACAAAATCTCAAAAAGAAAAAGTGCATCAGGCAAAGGGAAAAGTATCCCAGATGAAGAAAGTAAATAAAGTAAGACTAAGAGTGTCAAAGTAAAAGACATAAAACTAAATAAATGTCGACAGTTTTAAGTAATATCCTGTGGGATTTAAAACATATATACAAGAGACATAATTAACAAAACAAAACAAAAAAGTTGTCAATGAGAACTCACAAATCTGGAATCCAAAGTCTTATCTGAGACCTGGGCAAAAAAATTAAATTAAATTAAACAAATAAATAAATAATCTATATATTAAAAAAGCCAGCATCCGTAACGACTGGAACGACTAATGACTGGTCGCTATGATGCCCACTGTGGCCAGCAAACTGGCCTGATCAGGGGGTGGGGCTGGCCGGCCAACCTCCTGCTTCCCCTCCCTGATCAGCCCGCCCCACCATCATAGGCCTGCAGCTCCCCCCACCCTCACACCCATTAAGATGCAAAACCCCCATACAAAACAGTACAGAAACTAAGTGTTGATGAATATGTGAAGAAATTGGAACTCTATGAATATGTTGGTGGGTTTTTGAAATGGTACAGCCATGGTTCTGTCAAAAATAACATGGTACTTCCTCAAAGAATTAAACACAGAATTAATTATTATATGGTTCAGCAATTCTGTTTTTGGATAGATAGTAAAAAAAAAATTGAAAGCAGGGTCTTAAACAGATATTAGACACCCATATTCATAGCAGCTTTATTCACAATAGCTGAAATGTGGAAGCAACCAAGTGTCCATCAAATGCATAAGCAAAATATGCTGCACACACACACATACCAGGGAATATTATCCTTTAAGAGGAAAAATTCTGATATATGTACAACATAAATGAATCTTGAGGACTTTATGGAAAGGGAAATAAGCCAATCACACACACACACACACACACACACACACACACACACTACTGTGTGATTTCACTTATAAGAAGTACTCAGAGTAGTCAAAGCCATAAAGACAGAAAAAGAATAGGGGTTGCCAGGGCCTGGGGGACAGGGAATGGGAGTTACTGTTTAATAAGTTCAGAGTTTCAGTTTTACAAGATGAAAAGTCCTGGAGATGGAGGGTGGCAATGACTGTACCACAATATGAATGTACTTATTCCCGCTGAATTGTACACTTAAAAATGGTTATTTTTATGCTATGTTTATTTTACCACAATAAAAAAAATAGAATAAAATACTAGTAGCAGATTTAGAACCTGCTATAAATATTTCTCTCTTTACTGCGTCCAGCGCAGCTAGAGAGCGGACAGGAGTCCTAAGTAGGGGCGACGGGAGATTGAGAAAATGGAAGAGACGGACACAGAGACAGGAGAGAAAGCTGGGACCCGGTGGACAACTAGCCCTCTGATGGAGAGACAGTGACCCAGAGCCGGTGTAGCGTGTTTATTTTATACAGTATAATTCCATTTTAAAACAAATGTTTTACTAGAGTTTAAAACAAAGGAAACTATGTGATATCATAAAGATCAAGCTATAGTCATCCTTAAAGATCAAACTGTAATTTTTCATTCTTGTGGCTTCTTTGTAATAGTCACTCCTGGCTAAGCCCAGATAATTGCATCCGTTCTTTGCACCTGGCTGAACTTTGATAATGAAACCCACCCCCTGGCTCCTGAGCTGAGGGTCAGGCTGACGCATGCCTGCCTCTGGCATGGTGCATTTCCAAGACATGGCTCTGACAACACCACTGGACTCAGCTGACAATAATTAAATACTCAATACAGTATGTCTTCCAAGGCGCCCTCTACAGTGGGCCACGAGTTTGACATGCTTGTCCCACAGTGTCCCCTCTCCTGCAGCCAACTTCCCAGAGGGGCTGCTGTGTCTCGGCTCTATTAACTTCCCCCTGGTGTGCAGGGCATTTAAGGAGGGTTTTGATTTCACTGAGGGAAGCAGCCTGGTGTGAGGGAGACAGGCATTTGGAATGCACGAGATAAAGCACGATATCAAGAGTGGAGAATACCCATAAATATTTGTTAAAGGAAAACGAGTAACTCTAAAATATGGGGGGGGGGGGCAAAGAAGGGGGGGATAGTGGGAGAATGATGTTCTCAGCCTGATGTTTTAAAAACCACCTATTTACCATAATTTTTATGTATGAAGTATGTTGTAATTTTTTTAACAGAAATTTACTGGGGTGATATTGGTTAATAAAATTATATAGGTTTCAGGGGTACAATTAAATAAAATATGTCCTCTCTCTTTACATATATTTTTTTATTTTAAAAAGTGTTAATCAAATGGCCCAAATTTATTGAGAGGAAGGGAACACCACAATTATGAGTTTAAAACCCTGGAACCCAAGTGGTGTCATCCGTATATTGTACTGTGTGTTCACGACCCCAAGTCAAGCCTCCTTCCATCACCATTCATCCCCCCTTTACACTCTCCTACCTGCCCACCATCTCCTTTCCCTCTGGTAGTTACCATACTGTTGTCTGTCTATGAAGTGTTTTGTTTTGTTTTTTGTTTTTTTTTTCTCAATCCCTTCACCTTTTTTCACCCAGCTCCCTTCTCCCCTCCTCCCCTGACACCTAATAAGCTACCTGGAGAATACATTTTGTTTAATAACCGAATTCCACTGCCATCCTGTGCCTTTGGGGTTGTGGTTTGGGTGTAGAAATCTGAGGTGAAACTAAATTGCTCTGCACTGGGAATGTATGTGAACCACCCCCGTGTTCATTGCTGCATTATGTACAATAGTCAGACTATGTGAACAACCAAGGTGTCCACCAATAGATGAATGGATGAAGAAAACATTATATATATATATATATATATAAATATATATATATATATATATATATATATATATATATATATATATATATATAAATATATATACACACACACACACACACACACACACACACACACACACAGTGGAATATTATTCGGGCATAAAAAAGGAAATCCTGCCATTTGCAACAACATGGATGAACCTGGAAGGTATTATGCTAAGTGAAATGAGTCTAACAGAGAAAGACAAATACCAAATGATCTCACTTATTCATGAAATCTAAAACAAAAACAAAACCACACAGAAACACGGATACACACACACACACACACACACACACACACACACACGTTCATAGATAGAGAACAGATTGGTGGTTGCCAGAGGGAGGGATGTGTGTACATGAAATGGGTGAAGACAGTAAAAAACAAATAAACACCTTCAGTTATAAAATAAATAATTCCTGGGGATAAAACACACAGTATGGTAAATGTAGTTAATAATATTGCATTGCATATTTAAAAATTGCCAAGAGAGTACATCTTATAAGTTCTCATCACAAGAAAAAAAAAATTGTAACTATATGTAGTGATAGATACTAACTAAACTTATTATGGCAATCAGTTTTTAATATCTATAAATAGAGGAATATGCAAATTAGCCAGATCACCGTCACATCAGGACCAAACAGCAGGGACCTGAGGCTGCATGGTGCCTGGCCAGGGAGAGGGACCTCAGGCCGTGCACTCCCACCCTGTGGGGCTTGACAGGGGGCCTCAGGCTGCACCCCTCACTCGGCAGGGCTTGATTAGGGATCTCAAGACCCACCCCCACCCAGCACTGGGCCAGCTGGTGTGAGCTGCGGCTCCAGCACTGGCAGCAGGTGGGAGCAGGGCTGGCACTGGCAGCAGGTGCAAGCACCCAGCATGACTGCGGCCCGCAGGAGCAAATAATTTTGAGTAACCACCAGAGGCTCCCCTGATAACAGCAGCCGGCACCCCACCATGGCCTGGTGCCCCTGCTCACCTCTCCACCATCCTGCCCACCATGTTCTGTGCTCTGCCACCTGCTGCCAACGCCTGTCATGTTCCACGCACGCCCCCTGGTGGTCAGCGCACATCTCTGTGGTTGTGTTCCCCCCCACCCCCCCACCCCCCTCCGCCACTTTGGTCTATTTGCATATTAGGGATTTATATGTAGACCATCATCGCTACTGATGCCACATTAGCCTGAGGGGAGGAGGTGTGTGGAGATGACTTCGGGAGGATAGAAATGCCCAATGGAAATTTCAGTCAGGAGTTTTGTGATTTAAAACAGAAATCCTCTCTTTTGTTTATGTAATCTACAGTAAACTCCACGTTGTTGGAGTGGGTTTACTTTAAAAGACCGCGAAGAAGTGCTCAGGCTCCCAAAGGGAGAGGGCCACACAGGGTAACGCCCAGCCCCCACGGGAGAGAAAATCCAAAATAATAAAAGCTTTTTACTCGACAACATTTTAAAAACCTTTGTGTGGAAACACATCTAAAGGTAGAAAAGTAGAATAAAGAATCCCCTCCTACCTATCATTCAACTTTGACAACCTTGGGTTCATTTTTTAAAAAGTTTATTGTAATTACCCATGAGGCCGTTTTTAAAGACACAAGAACTGTTGAGGGAATCAATGTTTTTAATGGCAGTTATCTTATAGAACAGCACTGGAAACATATATCTTTCAAAATTAACTGGAAATAAAAATGTTCTGAAGTCATTTGAGACCATACGATTAATTGCATTAATTTCCAATATTTGAGGCTAGATAGCACTTAATAAATGCAGCATTTCATTCTAGCATTTTCTTTCACCACAATGCAAATATTGCCTGTATGAATGAGAGAGAGAGAGAGAACAAATGAATGAAAAATTAGGGTTTATTGGTCCCATCTTTCTTTAGATAATTTTATTCCAAATATCAAAACTTCTATTCCAACCCTACTGCACTGCCAAACTTCTACATATTTAAAATCTACATCAAACAATGGCTCCTGGTTCAATACAGTTTATTAGGAAGAATCATGGCCAGCAGTTAAGACTGAGATGAGCCTTCTAGGCTAGGGCTTCAATTTTTTTTTTTTTTTTTTTTTCTTGGCTGAAACTTGTGTTCATTTTTCATTCACAATATGTGTCAAGCACTATTGCTAGGTGGTTGAGAGTAGACTGCCACAGTTAAAGTCTGTGACCAAATGACAATGAATCATCAAGCAATGTGAAGGTAACAGTATCTAAAGAGCAGAGACCTAAAACAATCTTTTTCATCATGACTAGACCAGTCAACTGTCACATTCTAATTCCTCAAAGGCTACTTTGTGTGTGTTTTTGTGTGTGTTCTTTTTTAAAATATATTTTTATTGCTTTTTTAGAGAGAGGAAGGGAGAGGGATAGAGAGTTAGAAACATCAATGAGAGAAAACATCAATCAGCTGCCTCCTGCACGCCCCCTTCTGGGGATCGAGCCTGCAACCAAGGTACATGCCCTTGACCAGAATTGAACCCGGGACCTTTCAGTCCATGGCCTGATGCTCCATCCACTGAGCCAAACCAGTCAGGGCTCAAGGGCTTCTTTGGCATCAAATTCTGAGTCAGGTTGGTAACATAGGCCTTTAAAAAAGCATCACTGTTGCTCTGGCAGATGTAGCTCAGTGGGTTGGGCATCATCCTATGCACCGAGAGGTCGCTGCTTGGATGCCTGGGCAGAGCACCTGCCTGGGTTTCGGACTCCATCCCCAGTAGGGGGCATGCAGGAGACAGCAGATGGATGTTTCTCTCTTCCCTCTACCTTCCTATCTCTCGCAAATCAATAAAAACTTTTTTTTTTTTTTAAAGCATCATTGCCTGGGAAGAGAGATAACAGTCAATTATGAGTAGGTAGGGTATAATGATATGAAAACTCTCCATCTTGACTTTGCTTGAAAGTGAGTTGAGCATTTTGGTCATTGAGGGACGCCACGTAAAACAATCAGAAGGCAAATGGCACTAAACATGAAACACACCGAAGCAAGGCTCATGAAGAGGCACTGCTTTGTGCCGCGGTGGCAAAAAGAGCTCAGAGAGAGACAAGTAGGTGTCAGCATCAGCCAATCACACACCTGAACGCGCCACCCTGATGGAGGGTTTTTACAGAGAATAGCCATTTTCAGGTGAAAGATAAACTCTGATTGCAAACGTGACGGGGACTGGCGGAAGAAATCGAAAGACAGGACTGGATAGGCCATTGCCCCCATGCCTGAGAGGAAGAGGAAGACGTGGGAAGACTAAAAATGCGATCAGGCACTTTGGATAACTCGGAGGATTGTCCACACATCTTTTATAGAGACTAAAAGGGTTTCCCGCCGCTTTGAAGAATGAGTTATTATTTTAACACTGGTGCTGACTGGAACACATACGTAGGCACATTTCACAGTCACACAGCATCACGTCTCAGTTGGTTCCTGCTGGTGGCCGTGGATTTGAGATCCAGGTTTAAACAGGTGACTATCCGGTTGTGCACATATCTCTGCTACCTTAAGTTATGGGGTATCTAAGGTGATTAGGGTTTATTTGATCCATCTCATGGGCACTCCTGTGGTGGCAGACAGCTTTAAAGTCACACAACTCCTACGCAGCTAGGCTGAGTCCTCTCAATCCGGGCTCCGGAAAGGGATAGCCCGCTGATTGGCGTGGGCTGGCAATTAAAGACCATGGGCCCTCCATTGGTTAAGGAGCATCTCATGTCTCTCTGAGACCGTACTAAGGAAATAAAAGACGGCTTTGGAATTTTATGTTGATACTTATAAACCAAGAATTCCCACCAACATACCAAACTTCTTTAGAAAGCATTCATATGTTTTCTTTTTTCAATGTCTCTCTTGAGTTGGCAAAGGGCACAAGTAGGGAAGCACAACAGCACCGTGAAATCATTGCAAATGGATCCCTGTTTTAAAGGAAACACAAAACAGACACGTGAGTCCACAAACACAGGCACACAATTTCCTGCATTTGCATAGCTTTCCCAACCCCTTTAAAACATATATTTTTGTCCCTTGTCACCAGAATTCTGTGACCTTATCCCCAAGTCTCTGATGACCCAGAGAACTTAGAAGACCATCTAAGATCACATAGCAAATTGGTGGCAGTGCTTGGTCTTTCTGAAATAAGGTTCCCTTTAAAGCAAGTTGGTGTGATGCACCAATTTTCCTAGAGCGGGTGAGCAGTGCCAGACCCAGCCTCATCTTGCATCCCTCAGCCATTTTCCTTGGCTGCTCTCATGTTCTGTGAGGGAGAAAGTCTGAAGTGAGAGAGGGGCATATGGTTATAGGGGGTGGGGGAGAGAGAAGGGAACCAGTGATGTCTGGAAAAGCCTCAGCATGGGCTACGCTCACAGTTCTGAGAGCCCTCTCTCTGGAAGGGTCCGGTGGGCTCTCACTGGCCCTCCGGCAGAGAAGCCCTTGGAGGAAGCTGCTATTATATGTGCGGGAGGCACCGGGTGATCCACGAGGCTCTAGTCTGACAACCAGATTCTGTGCTGCTGTGACTCGATGGACTGAAATAATTCTGAGCTCCATCTTTTCTGATAGCGCTAATTTTTTTTTTTTTAAAAAGTGCTCAGCTGTGCAATGGCATCTGCCTTTTTTATTTTATTTATATATTTTATTGATTTTTTACAGAGAGGAAGGGAGAGAGATAGAGAGCTAGAAACATTGATGAGAGAGAAACATCGACCAGCTGCCTCTTGCACACCCCCCACCGGGGATGTGCCCACAACCAACGTACATGCCCCTGAACTGGAATCAAACCCGGGACCTTTCAGTCCACAGACCGACGCTCTACCACTGAGCCAAACCGGCTTCGGCAGATAGCGCTAATTTTTTTTTTTTTAAAAGTGTTGAGTGAATACAATTCCCAATTTATAGTGTGAGAAGAGAGAATATGAGGAAGAAAGAGAGAGCTATGGTATCGATAGATTGAGTTTATAAGGGTTAGGAGCTCCTAAATGTTGAGATTATGAGTGCTCTATTCTTCTTCTTCTTCTTTTTTAAAATCCTCACCCAAGGCTATATTTTCCAATGATTTTTATTTATTTATTTATTTTTTTTTTAGAGAGAGAGTGGAAGGGGGCCGGGGGAAGAGAAGAAAACACATCAGTCGATGTGAGAGAAACACATCCATTGGTTGCCTCCTGCACACACCCTGACCAGGGCTGGGGATGGTACCCACAACTGAGGTGTGTGCCCTGGACCAGGAATCATACCCAGGACCCTTCGGTCCTCAGGCCAATGCTCCACTGAGAAAAACTGGCCAGAGCAAGTGCTCTATTTTTTATGAAAAATTTTCTATTGCTACAGTGATTTTGATTCTCATCTACCAGAGTAAGCATGTGGGGGAAAAGGGGACAAATGAGTAGCAAAGTTAAAACTCATCTAAAGTTGTGCCCCTTGCCAGAGGGAGGAATGGATATTCAGTCTGAAGAGAATTCAGACTTGTAGCCTTCTCTTTTTCTCTGATAAATAATCCACAGTTTCTTTAATCTTTCCTCATAGAACTTGTGCTTCTCAGTCTTTAATTCATTGTTTACTTTTTACTTTTAAAAATCTTTTAAACATTCATTAAACCACCATTATGCAAAAAAAAAAAAATCCTCATTTAGTAATGAGACAGTGTCTATATGCTCTATCTATTTACCTCAGATAGTTAAAAAAATATATATATATATCCCTCCAATTGATTTCAGAGAGAGTAAGGAAGAGGGAGAGAGAGTAAGAATTATCAACGATGAGAGAGGATCATTGATTGACTACTTCCTGTATGCCACCTAATGGGGATTGAGCCTGCAACCCAGATATGTGCCCTGACCAGGAATCGAGCCATGACCTCCTGGTTCATGGGTCAATGCTCAACCACAGAGCCACACTGGTCAGGCTCAGGTAGTTTTTAGGAGTAAAAATCCCACTATTATTTGCTGAGATACCTAGGGAAACTTAGAGAAAACACAGCCTGATTCTAAGTGTGTTTCATAATATACACATAGAGTCTATAGAGAAGAAAAGATGTTCCTTTTTCAAAGAAAGAGGAAATGAACTACAGATCGGCATCATGTTGAAGTTAATAAGGGATACAAATGCCTGGAGGGGAACAGCTTCTTGGGAAATGGGTGCCACAAACAAAGACTTTGCATTCACCACTCTGCTTGATTAATCGGGACTAGTACTCCTCTGGTTAAATAGGGTCTTGTTATCAGCACTGTTTACAGATCCACTGACTGAGAGAATAAATGAATGGCTTGTGGAACATGGCTGACCACACATTTACGCAGGAAGGCAGGATGATCAAGTGGGAGAAACCAGACATTTGGAGTTAGAATCAACCAGCATTTCCATGTTCTGTGACCTTAAGCCTGTCTCACTCCTGGTTTCCATATCTATAAAGTGGAGACCCTAGCCCTGGTGCCACACAAAGCTTTTAAGTAGTAGATGAGCAACTATATGTCGAAATCCTATCCCAGCAGATGGCAGCTGTGGCCTTTCTCCTTCTCGCCAGCAGAGGCTGTGCCCCTCGCTGGCCTAAGGGATGCTGTGTTGGCTGCTCCATAAAGGGAGGGGCCAGTCAGTCAGAGGCTACACTGTAGCAGCCCCAGGATAGTTTGCATAGATGTAAAAAGGAAACAAAACAGAAAACACAAATTAGTCCTAGGATTTACTTGCGATTACCTACATATAAATTGATTTCAGAGAGGAATGGAGAGAGAGATAGAAACATCAACGATGAGAAAGAATCATTGATTGGCTGCTCCTGCATACCCCCTACTGGGGAGCGCGCCTGCAACCCGAGTCTGTGCCCTGACAGAGCATGAGCCCTGACTGGGAATGTGAACCCTGACCTCCTGGTTCAAAGATCACTACTCAACTTCTGAGCCATGCTGGCCGGGTCATACTACCATTTTAAAGGTCTGTTACAAGGAGGAAAATACACAGTCCATAAATACATTTATTTAATGTATGCCGAGAATTCTGTCATAGAATCCTAGACCTAAAAATGACCTTAGAATCATCTTGCACAACTTCCTCATGACACATGAGAAAACCGATGCCTCCAAATGATTCCCCAGAGTCTCAAAAAATTAGCTATTTGCTGAGCTGTACCCAGAACTTTTATCATAGAGAGTCCAGCTAAGTGCTCCTTCTCTCATACCTTTTGGAGTTAGGGACCACTTTGAGAAATCCGCTCACGCCCATATACATAACTACAATTTCATGACACTTTGCCCGTAATTTCAGGAAGTTCACGGGTCAGTCACAAAGGTAAGGACTCCTGTGTGTTATCGGCTTTGTGAGTGGCACACCTGAGAGCTGCAGGGAGTGCTGAGTCAGGTGCTGAGCAAGCACAGAGGAGAAATGGAGCCAGGCCTGAACCCACCCCTGCCCTGGGAAATCAGCTGAGTCATGTTCTGAGATAAGAACAGAAATGATAACTGTTATTTATTGAACACTATTACCTGCCTTTTCCGTGCCTTATCTTAGGTAACTTTTACTATACCACCATAGTGAGGCGTCATTCTTGCTGTTTTATCAGTGAGGGAGCCAAGGTTAGGGAGATTAAAAACTTTCTCTCCTCACAAGGGAGCAGTGAGAGGGCAGATGATAAGTTTCCAGGAACAAGAAGCCATCATATCCATCTTTGTTTAGAACACGTCAGCGAGTTCCCGGTTCACTCGGAGTAAACATTCTTACAGCCTCCAAGGCCCTTGCTAATACTCTGGCATCATCATCTTCTATGCCACACCCCACACACTCAATTCCTTCCCCCCCCCCCCCCCCCCCAATTGTTTCTGGATGGAACATTCCAGCTAAATTCTACTTCATGGCCTTGCTTGGATCTATCTTTTCTTCCTGGGCCCTTTTCAGCTGCATCACCTTTTAGGTCCTCCCTTTCTGACTGAGGTCTTTCCTGATAGCCCTATTTAAAATTAGAAACCCCAACACTCCATTCCTCTTCCTTGCTTTACTTTTCTCTGTGACACATCACCGTTCTATATATTTTACTTTTACTGAGTTATATTGTAGCTGTCTTTTCCCATTAGAGTGCAAGATCTGCCATTGGCAGCCATCGCAGTAATAACTGATGCAGGCAAGAAACTTCAATGCATGTTAGAGCTAGTGGGTGAAAGTTTGATGGAGAACAGGATATTTACATCTCCCCTATGAGATCCTTATCTATCTATCTATCTATCTATCTATCTATCTATCTATCTATCAAACCTTAATATGCAAATAGACAGCGGAACAACCAAATAATGGTCTCTATGATGTGCGCTGACCACTCACAGAACATGGTGAGTGTCGGCAGTACGCGGCAGAGTGCAGATTATGGTGGGTGTTGGCTGCAGTGGGACAGTGGAGCAGATGAGTGGGGGCGCCAGACCAAGGTGGGATGCCAGTTGCTGTCATTGGGGGAGCCTCTGGTGATTGCTGAAAATTCTTTGCTCCCATGTGCCATGGTCCTGCCCAGCATTCACACCCCCTGCCGGCACCTGGTGCTGGTCCTGATCCCTTGGTATGTCAGCAGGTACAAGCAGTTGCCAGCCCCAATTGCCCCTGATGGCTTCTCCAGCTCATCCTGCTCCTGAGGGGTGATTGGGGCAGCAGCTGCCTCTTGAATCCCTTGCTGGTGCTGGCCCCAATCCTTTGTGCCATCAGTGGGTGCGAGTGGAACTGGCTCCATCAGTGCATCGGAGCGGCAGCAGGAACAAGGCTGCCGGCAGAGAGGAGACCCAGGGCACAGCAGGAGGGGCTGGGTGGGGCTTAGAGGATGGGCTAAGATCTGCCCCTATGCCCAACACAGCCTCACAGCCCACAGTTCTTTTCTTTTTTGTTTTTTAAATAAATTTTTATTCAGATTATTACAATTGTTCATCTTTTTTCACCCCATAGCTCCCCTCCATCCAGTTCCCACCCCACCCTCTGTCCTTACCTGCCCCCTACTCCACTGTCCTCATCCATAGGTGTATGATTTTTGTCCAGTCTCTTCCCACACCTCACACACTTCTTTCCCCCCAAGAATTCAGTCCACTCCCTTTCTATGCCCCTGATTCTACTATATTCACCAGTTTATTCTGTTCCTCAATTTTTTTATTCACTTGATTTTTAGTTTCACTTATTGATAGATATGTATTAGTTGTTCATATTTTTTATCTTTTCCTTTTTCTTCTTCCTCTTCTTAAAGAATACCTTTCAGCATTTCATATAATACTGGTTTGGTGATGATGAACCCCCTTAGGTTTTTCTTGTCTGTGAAGCTCTGTATCTGCCCTTCAATTCTGAATGATAGGTTTGCTGGGTAGAGAAATCTTGGTTGTAAGTTCTTGCTATTCATCACTTGGAATATTTCTTTCCACTTCAGTCTGGCCTGCATAGTTTCTGTTGAGAAATCAGCTGACAATTGTATGAGTGCTCCCTTGTAGGTAACTGTTTTTCTTTTGTGGCTTCTATGATTCTCTCTTTGTCTTTTGCTCTTGGCATTTTATTTATTTATTTATTTATTTATTTATTTATTTATTTATTTAATTATTTTTAAAAAAAAAATATTTTATTGATTTTGTACAGAGAGGAAGGGAGAGAGATAGAGAGTTAGAAACATCGATGAGAGAGAGTCATCGATCAGCTGCCTCTTGCACACCCCCTACTGGGGTTATGCCCACAACCAAGGTACATGCCCTTGACTGGAATCGAACCCGGGACCCTTCAGTCCCCAAGCCGACGCTCTATCCATTAAGCCAAACCGGTCTTGGCTGCTCTTGGCATTTTAATTATGGTGTGGTCCTCTTTGGATTCCTTTTGTTTGGGGTTCTGTGTGCTTCCTGGACTTGTAAGTCTATTTCTTTCACCAGGTGGGGGAAGTTTTCTGTCATTATTTCTTCAAATAGGTTTTCAGTGTCTTGCTCTCTTTCTTCTTCTGACACCACCATAATTCGGATATTGGTATGCTTGAAGTTATCCCAGAGGCTCCTTACGCTTTCTTCATATTTTTGAATTTTTTTCTTTTTTCTTTTCCAGTTGGGTGTTTTTTGCTTCTTTGTATTTCAAATCTTTGACTTGATTCTTGCGATCCTCTAGTCTGCTGTTGGATCTCTGTATAATATTTTTTATTTCAGTTAGTGTATACTTAATTTCTAGTTGGTCCTTTTTCATATCCTCGAGGGTCTCGCTAAATTTATTGGTCTTTTTCTAGAAAATTCTTGAAAACCTTATAACTGTGGTTTTGAACTCTATGCAGTCATTTTTTCCCCTCCATTTCCTTCATTTGTGACCTGCCTCTTTGTCTCTGCATTTTGGCTGCTTCCCTGTGTTGATAGAGTGGCTTTGTGTGATAGGTGTCCTACAGGGTTCAGTGGCTCAGCCTCCCCTGTTACCTGAAGTGGACACTTTTTGTGGGCTGTGTGCACAGTCTTGTTGTAGTTAAGCCTTAATTGTTGTTGGAATCACTGGGAGGAATTGACCTCCAAGCCAATTGGCTGTGAGGATCAGCTGTGTCTACGATGGAAGAACTTCTGTTGAAGATACCCTTATGAGACAAGACTTGCAAAAGCCTCTGTGCTCAGTTTGAATGGGGCAGAGTCTCAGGGTGGAGCAAGCAACAATGGCTTCATGGGGCCAGATCTCAGGGTGCAGCAAACCACAATGGCTTCCCTTCTGCCCTGCCCTAAGAGGCCCCCAGGTATCAGTGTTCTGTGGCAATTGCTGCAAGCACCTCTAAGAGAAAGCTGCCCTCAAGTTTTGCCCGCTGCCAGACAGTCCAGTTTCTTCCCCAATGAGTCTGGGTCCCCAGAGTCTTGCCAGAAACTGAAGTTCAGAACAGTCAGGAGCTTTTGTCTCCCTCCCAATTGAGAAAGCCAGCATCGTACTCAGTTGCCAGCTCTCTCTATGTACACAACTCTGTACCTCTGCCTTCTGCAGCTCCTGTAAGTCTCAGTGTGCTTTTCTCTTTTCTTCTAGTTGTAGAATTTCCACTCAGCCAGCCTTCCTGTGGTTCTGGATGATGTCCGTTTTGTCTTTTAGTTGTAGTTTTGAAATTGTTGTGCTAGGCAGCAAGTTTAGGGTTTTTACCTATGACGCCATCTTTGTTTCTCCCCCCATAGTTCCTTTCAAGGTGCACAAATTCATGCACTGGGCCCCCCCATCCATTATAAAGAGGAAAATAGCAACTTTATAGTAGATGCTCCTGGAAGACACTATCTTAACAAAGTGATCAAAGTTAACATCACACATAATGGGGTAAATGGATGTCATGTGCTTCCTGATACAATGTATGGCAAACACAGCACAGCTTCTGTGGAGTTTCTGCCAAAAGTGTACAACCTAATCATTGGAAACATTTGACAAATCAAGCTGAGGGATAGTCTATTGATGTATGTTCCTTAAAATAAATAAATAAATAAACAAATAAGAACAAAGAAAGACTAAGAAACTGTTTCTTATTGTATGAGACGAGGGGTGTGACAACTGAATGCAATGTGTGATCCCAGATTGCTTTCATTTTCATCTAAAGCAGTGGTTGGCAAACCGAGGCTCATCAGCCACATGAGGCTCTTTGGCCCCTTGAGTGTGGCTCTTCCACAAAATACCACGTGGGGGCTCACACAGACAGTGTGATTGAAACTTCGTGGCCCACGTGCAGAAGTCGGTTTTCGGCTCTCAAAAGAAATTTTAATCGTTGTACTGTTGATATTTGGCTCTGTTGAATACTGAATTTGCCAACCACTGGTCTAAAGGATGGTGTTGGGATAATTGGTAAAGTTCAAATAAGATCCACAGATTAGCTTCTAGTCTTGTATCAATGTTAAATTCCTGATTTTGATAATTGTTTTATGATTATATAAGAAAATGTCCTTGTTGTTAAGAAATATGCTGAAAAAGGTAATAGTGCAACAAGTTTGTAATATATCCTCAAATGATTCAGGGAAAAAAATAGATAAGGTAAAGAGAAAAATAAAACAAGTGTGGCAAATTTTTACTACTTGGGGGATCTGAGCAAAGGGTATTCAGGAAGTCTTTGTACCATTTTTGCAACTTTTTCATTGAGTCTAAAATTATGTTGAAAGGGCTTAAAAAAATAAATGAATGTAGACTTCATGATGATAAGGATTTTGATTTCCTTTATTCAATGACATGTCTCTAGCATCTGCAATGGTAATTGGCATGTTCTATGTATTCAGTAAATTCCCATTGAATAATGAACGTCTGCCTATGACTTTACTAGATTCTAGGTGCTCAGTGGCTCCTTAAAAAAAAAATTATATATATATATATTTGATTTTTTACAGAGAGGAAGGGAGAGAGAGAGTTAGAAACATCGATGAGAGAGAATCATTGATCAGCTGCCTCCTGCACACCTCCTACTGGGGATGTGCCTGCAACCAAGGTACATACCCTCACCAGAATAGAACCCTTCAGTCCAAAGGTCTAACCGGCTGGGCCAATGGTCCCTTTTTAATGAATGAATGATTGCTTCAGAGTTACCAATGAGGCCAGCGGGACAGCATGGGGAGGATGCCCTGGACTCTCATTTGTACCCAAGGCTCCGTGGGAAACTGTCCCCCACCCTGCAGGCTGCAGGGCTCGAGTGACTCTGGGCACAGCCAGGAGAGGCTAAGGGTCCCGTGCCGGCCTCTGCCCTCACCTACTCACCACCAGCATCTATTGGATCAATAAAGTATTTTATTATAGATATATCCCGAAGCACAGATAGCCACCCTGTCCCCGTATATCACTTGAGCGTGCAGGGTGGTAACGGGCATGCAGGTGAGGAGGGCGGTCATGGGCGCGGGGGCTGCCCGCCTCTCGGGGACGGAGGGTCACTCACCGGGATGCCGTACCGCGTTCGGTACAGGGTCCTCATGGCCACAGACGCTCCGCACAGGCAGCATTCGTCCATGTCCGAGGCAATCTGGCACGAAAGGCACAGCGGGAAGAACGTCCCGCAGAGGCCTGGGTGGGAGGAAAGGCACAAGGCAGTGAGGCCAAGGCATCTGGTCTCCACGGAAGCACACTGCCCTCCAAGGGTGCTCGCCGGGGAGCTGGCCTCTGACCCTCCGAGCAAGCAGTGCGGTCCCTCCCGCCTCTGTGTGCACTGCTCTGGGCCCGGCTGCCCGGGGGTTGGGGAAATGTGCATGTCATAACATCAGGCCAGGTTTCATTGCAAAAGCTTCTGCCTTGTCAACCCGAGCGCGTGAAACGGATCTCTCTTCCCGGCCCTCGTTGTTGTTCGGGCCACGATTGTTTGTAGGAAGTTTGTTGGTGCCAAAATGAGAAAAGCAACACGGACTAGGTTTTAGGTGGTCATGCGGGCAAAGAACCGGGCCCTGGTATCGACATGAGGACGGAAGCAAGCAGAAGTTAAGGGATAGGAGCTCGGAAAGCTTAAAAAGCTGGCTGCAATGTCACTTTAAGGAACCTGTGTAAGACAAAAAGCGGGCCTAGGGGAATGGCAAAAACAGGACACGGTTCTCAAACATACTCTGAGTAAAAGTCTATTTTGGAAAGCTCTGAAGTGGAGTTTTCTTTTTCCCCCCCTTCTTTTTTTAATATACACTGAGTGGCCAGATTATTATGATCTTTGAAAGCATAATAATCTGGCCATTCAGTATATATATATGAATTCGTGCATGGGTGGGGTCCGGCCAGCCTGGCCAGGGGGAGGGGACATGGGTAGTTGGCCAGCCTATCTGCTGGTTGAACTCCTGGTCGAGGGGACAATTTGCATATTAGCCTTTTATTATATAGGATATACACTGAGTGGCCAGATTATTATGCGTTCAGAGGTCATAATAATCTGACCACTCAGTGTATTTTTATTGGTTTTAGAGAGGAAGGGAGAGGAGAGAGAAATAGAAACATCAATGATGAGAGAGAATCATTGATCGACTGCCTCCAGCACACCCCCCACTGGGGACTGAGCCTGCAACCCGGGCATGTGCCCTTGACCACAATTGAACCCGAGACCCTTCAGTCCGAAGGCCTATGCTCTATCCACTGTGCCAAACCAGCCAGGTCTGAGGTGGAGTTTTGATAATGCTATACCCCCAATGAGATAAGAAAGTCCTTGCTTTATTTATTTATTTATTTATTTATTTTTATTGTTTTACACAAAAGGCTATCTCTAATGAACTTGGTACCTCCAGCATGTACCAAAAAATAAAAGTAAAAATAATTTAAAAATAAGGAGGCTGTTTCTCAAAGACACTGGAAAGATGTTCCACACAAAGCATTTGCAGCTCATATGATGGTAGACTCTGAAATAAGGAAATTTTTTCTCATGCAAAAGTGTGGTTAGTAATGCAAAATAATTATGTTAGTAAAATAAAAACCTGCACTGCTTCCTGAAATGGGACAGCCCCAAGAGTACCACTGAAAGCCGGAAACCAGTCAGCTTCTCAGGAAAGGAAGAGTAAAACCGGAGAATCATGTCAGGAACATGGTGAGCCCAGCCGATGTGGCTCAGCAGCTGAGTGTCGACCTATGAACCAGGAGGTCACGGTTCCATTCCCGGTCAGGGCAAATGCCCAGGTTGCAGGTTCGATCCCCAGTGTGGGGCATTTAGGAGGCAGTCAATCAATGATTCTCTCTCTCCCTCTCGCTTCCTCTCTGAAATCAATAAAAATATATATTTTTAAAAAAGAACGTGGTGATCATAAAGAGGTGAGACATTTAAAAAAAGGTGATTGATCTAAACAAGGATCACATACTCAAGGTGAGGCAGGTAAAATAAATGTGTGAGATAGGTTGGAAAAACCCCAAAACAGTGGATAGTGAGCATAAATATGGCGAACTGCAGAGTGAGAATCCTTTTTTAGGGGCTTGGCTAGTACTGTGCCGCATGAGAATGGGAACTCATCTTTCCAGATTTTTTCAAATTTTCAAGAGAAGCTGGACATCTGGATCGAAAAGCTAGATTTTCGTGTGAAATCTGATTTTTAGGTGTTTGCTAAACACCTAAAATTAGTACATCAAGAAGGCTCATTATGTACGGGACAAACACAACACACCTGGTGGCGAAATCTGAGTTAGAGAGTGAAACATAGAACTCAACAATAGGATAAACAAACCACTCCTTTGTTATGCTAATAACCTGCGTTGTTACCGGCAGTCCAGGGGAAAGCGAAGACAGGGTGCACTTACAAATCCCCATGTCGTTGCAGCAGTCAAAGGTGCCAGTTTGCCAGTCACTGACCGTGGAACCTCCCGCACCGTATCCTGGCTGTGTAACAACTGGGTTCATTTTTTCAGGATCCCTTCAAAAGGTCGCTGCCTGTAAAAACAAATCCAAAGAAGTATTAGTTCAATATAATATAGATACCAGCCGAGAAGGCTTTTCATCACATCTCCCCTGTGGAAAGGGGCTCACCTTCTGACGGCGCCTGACATTTGCAGGCTGTTATGATTATCTAGAAGTTAAAACTATCAAGTTAAGGGGACGGAGGCTCCTTCTCCCTCAGGTTTTCTGTTGTTTTCTCCCCCACCTTGCCCTTCACCGATCAGCAAGGTTATTTTGTTGTTGTTGCTTTTTTTCAAGGCAACCACCCTGAACAATGTCTATTTTACATTTGAAGTATATCTTTTTTTATTTTTTAATATATTTTATTGATTTTACACAGAGAGGAATTGAGAGGGACAGAGAGTTAGAAACGTCGATGAGGGAGATACATCGACCAGCTGCCTCTTTCACGCCCCCTACTGGGGATGTGCCCGCAATCAAGGTACATGCCCTTGACCGGAATTGAACCCGGGACCCTTCAGTCTGCAGGCCGACGCTCTATCCACTGAGCCACACCGGCTTTGGCTGAAGTGTTTCTATTCAATAGCAATTATAACCAGTCTTTACATGGTCTCAGCTGTTCCCTAAGAGGATTCTGAGATAGAGTTCTTCGCTTTTCCATAAAGTTGTTATTAAAACAGATGCTTCCAACGATTGTCAGCTTTCATGTGTGATTATTAGTGATCTTCGGATAGCTTAAGTTTTAATAGAAGACCCCTGTTACTTAGAAAAAAACAACATTCAGTTTCCTTTGGTGAAGATGTCAGGTAGGAATCTGAAAGAAAGAAAAACCCACTGGTTGCAAAACCGCTAGGAAACACTGTCTCTCAAACAAAGTGGTGCTTATACTTTTTATATTTCACCCTGCGATCAGGGCAAGTCTCCTAAGCTCCTGCTCAGTCAGTACTCTCAAAAGAGAACATGTGTTTGTTTTCACAATTACCAACGTTCAACGTCGCTGCTTTACCATGTCAAATCTGACCACAGTACTGTGCTCTGCAGTCCTGGTCCCTGCTCACTTCCAACACTTCCCTTGACTAGTTGCAAGGAACCCCATTGTCCCCCATTGTCCTTGGGCTTTGCTGCCTTCAGTCTTCCTCCACTGGTACAGCCCCAGTCAACAATTCTATCAACACACTTCCCTATCCGGGCCGCACACTAGGTTCATCCTTAGGGCTTGGTTAAAAAGACAGATTCTTGCTTCTGATTGAGTAGTCTGGGGTGAACCTTAGGTGTGTAAAATTTTTAAGAGATTATTCTGATGCAGCCACTCTGGGGGCTACAATGATGTGTCATTTCACTCTTTCTCGGCCCTTCCTAATGCATTTTCTTAGCTTTTCACCATGTCCTGCTCCTCTTCCAGGGTGATTCTGTCGACTCAGATCTGTGGCTGTTATCAGCTGATCTCCACCAAATCTGAGTCCTTTAAAAAAGGGACCAAACTTCTCTCGAATAACAAAAGCCAGGGCTTTGAACTGCCCTAGAAAGAAGTCTCTAATACTTGCTATCAAGAACTTGCTTTATGACCCAAAGGGGACACTAGCCAGCTTAATGCTATATAATTACAGTCAAAGCCCCCAGAAATCATGTTTGAAACTGCAATGTATAGATAGATAATTATCTAGAATCCAAAGATCTTTCTCCTCTTTGCTTAATTGGGAGGGTAATGATATCTTTTTTTTTAATTCAGTTTTTATTTTATTTTATTGATTTTGTACAGAGAGGAAGGGAGAGAGATAGAGAGTTAGAAACATCGATGGGAGAGAGTCATCGATCAGCTGCCTCTTGCACACCCCCTACTGGGGATATGCCCGCAACCAAGGTACATGCCCTTGACTGGAATCAAACCCGGGACCCTTCAGTCCCCAAGCAGACGCTCTACCCATTGAGCCAAACCGGTCTCGGCTGATATCTTTTTTGATAATGCAGGAAAACATATGGCTAGGTGGTACAGCAGAGACTATTAGCCAACAGGAAAAAGCAGCAAAGGGCTGACCAGGGACTCCTGTCCACGGGCAGTATTGTGGAAACAATGAATTAGCAGAGAGATGATGGTTAAGAGTCCTGAGAATGGCCCTCGCCAGTTTGGCTCAGTGGATGAGAGTGTTGGCCTGTGGACTGAAGGGTCCTGGGTTTGATTATGGTTGAGGGCACATGCCCAGTTTGCAGGCTCGATCCCCAGTGTGGGATGTGTAGGAGGCAGCCTATTCCTGATTCTCTCTCATCATTGATGCTTCTCTATTTGTCTCCCTCTTCTTTCCTCTCTAAAATCAATAAAAATATATTTTTTAAAAAAGGTCCTGAGAATGGATAGTATTGCCTTATCTAATCAAGTGAATTTAAACTTTTGCAGGGTAAGGCACAAAGTTTTAAGTGTTTGTATAGTAGTATTTTGTAGTTCTGGTTGTAATGGGGTCTTATTAATAAAACTAGAGGCCCAGAGTATAAAATTCGTGCACAGGAGGGGTGTCCCTCACCCCAGCTTGCACCCTCTCCAATCTTGGACTGTCTGAGAGATGTTCAACTGCCCATTTAGATTCGACATCTCACAATCCAGTACTGCTGGCTCCCAACCGCTCACCTGCCTGCCTTCTTGAATGCCCTTAATCACTTCTGCTTGCCAGCCTGATCACCCCCTAACCATTCTCCTGCCAACTTGGTTGTCCCTAACTGTCCTCTTCTGCAGGCTTGATCACCCCCAACTGCCTTCCTTTGCAGGCCTGGTCCCTCCCAACTACCCTCCCCTGATGGCCATCTTGTGGTGACCATCTTATGTCCACATGAGGTCAGCCATCTTGTGTGTTGGAGTGACATTCAATTTGCATATTATTCTTTTATTAGATAAGATAGAGGCCTGGTGCATGGGTGGGGTCCAGCTGGTTTGCCCTGAAGGGTGTCCTGGATCAGGGTGGAGGTTCCCCAGGGGTGTGGAGTGGCCTGGGTGAGCGGCTTACTATGGCTTGCAGGCTGGCACGTCCCCCAGTGACCCAAGCGGAGGCCCTGGTACCTGGGATTTACTTATCTTCTATAATTGAAACTTTGTAGCCTTGAGTGGAGGTCAAGGCAGGCCAGGGCAGGTGGAAAGCTTGGTGTACTCCATTGCCAGGGAAACCCAAGTCTCCTGATCTCTCTGGGACCGCAGCCATCTTGGTTGGGCTAATTTGCATACTCACTCTTGATTGGCTGGTGGTCGTGGCTTTTGGGTGTAGTGGAGGTACAATCAATTTGCATATTACTCTTTTATTAGATAGGATACTCTACATAGCAGATATTTTCTACTGGTTTCTGTCTACAGACATTTTGTCTTAGAACACCACTGTCATTTTGCAAACTAACATGTGTGTTATAACTTATTTAATCCAATAAGTTATATCCAACTTATTTAAGCCAATTGGCCTGAAGGTCAATTCCTCCCAGTGATACCAACAACAATTAAGACTTAACTACAATAAGACTGTGCACACAGCCCACAAAGGGGTGCACCAAGAGTGTTTACCTCAGGTAATTGGGGAGGCTGAGCCACTGGACCCTATAGGACACCTAGCACACAAAGCCACTCTATCAACACAGGGAAACAGCCAAAATGTGGAGACAAAAGAGGCAGGTCACAAATGAAAGAAATAGAGGAAAGCAAATGACTGAATAGTGTTCAAAACCACAGTTATAAGGTTTTCAAGAATTTTCTAGAAAAGGTTGATAAATTTATCAAGACCCTCTAGGATATGAAAAAGGACCAACTAGAAATTAAAATCAGATTATTTAGATTATTCCGAGAAACACATGGATGCATAATCTTTGACAACCCTCCATGAATAATGTTTTCACCAGCTGGGGTTTGATCAGAATTGGACAGCGTGAAGCTGAAGTAGAAGTCTGTGGCAAGAACCTGAGTTCAGATTCCCAACTAGGGATGCTTATTATTCATAGGAGCAAGTATGCAGAAGGAGAGGCACATAAGGCAAGTGCATTGTTATAAAAATTAAAAGATGCAACCAGGACAACACAGAGGGCCACCCTAATAGCCTGGAGGTGAGTGAATCAATGGCTGTCCTAATTCAGCATGGAGACCAGCTAAAGGCATGCCTGTAGGAAAGCCTTTGTGTCCTCAAAAACCAGCTCTGAAACCTTATTAGCAGGGGACCAGTGGAAACATTTAGAAAAACAAATTAGCCAAACACAGGCTACAATTGATATTAAGTGATCCATTTAGAACAAGCTGATAGTGTTTTTTAAGCAGTACATTTGTGCCAGCACTTATGAGTTACATGAGATGGATCAAAGTCCCAAGGTTCCACATCACAAAGCCTGAAAACCTTTCATATCAGATGTTGACAAACCCACCCACTATGATAACAAAATATACAGTGAAACCCAGTGGAGTCTAATTTTAAGAAATGTAACTTCCTGGTTAGCAGAAATAAAACAATTACAACATGAAACCTTAGATAATATAATAAGTTCACCTTTTAAAAATACCAACCACTTGGCTCCATTGGGATTCTGATCCATTGGTCTGGTTGGAGGGGATTAGTGGCCTTGGAATTAGTATTTTTAATGTTCCCCCAGAGATGCCAAGGAGCAAGGAGGATAGAGAATCACTGTATTGAAGGAAATCTAACCAAAGTGAGGATTTGAGTATTGGAGTTTAAGTCTTTTATACAAAAACTAGAGGCCCAGTGCATGAATTCATGCATGGGTGGGGTTCCTCGGGGTGGCCTGTGGGGACTGGGCAGAAACCAGCAGTCCAATGCCACCTGCAGCTCCAACCTGACTCTCCCCCGCTTATCCCAGCCCAACTGCGCCTGCCGCAAGCTTTCACCCAATCAGTCCCGATCAGGAGAGGCTTGTGCACCACCAGCACTTGCCAACCATGAGCCCTATGTCTGGTGCCCTCCTGAGGGGAGTGGCCTGCGGGATTGGGCTGAAACTGGCTCTCCAACATTCCATGAGGGGTCCTGGATTGTGAGAGGTTGCAGGCCAGGCCAAGGGACCTCACCAATGCACAATCGAGCTGGAGAGGGACTGTGCGAGGGCTCCAAGGCATGTCTGTCCCCGTCTCACCCAGTCTCAATTAGCCAGACCCCAGCAGCCAGCTAACCTACCAGTCGGAGCATCTACCCTCTGGTGGCCAGTGTATATAATAGCGACTGGCCAACTGGTTGTCTGTCTGCCCCTTGGTGGTCAGTGCACGTCAAAGCGAGTGTTTGAGCAGCTTTAGCATATCATTAGCATTTTGTGCTTTGATCGTTTTGAACAATTGGTCACTGAATGACTGGACACTTAGCATATTAGGCTTTTATTATATAGGATAGTTTCACTCCAAACATGTATAATTTTAAAAATTTAGTTAAAATAACGTGGTTAATGAAGACAATCTAAAATTCCTCTCCCTCCCCCCTAAATATCAGAAGAAAAAAACCTCTACTAAATCTACCATACATACATACCAAACCACTATTGACACTTGTGATGTACATCCTTCCATTTAGTCTAATAAAATAATACTTTGGGTGTGAGAGTTTTCATGAGGATACTCCCAAATGTGGCAGTAAAACCATTTCTCCTACAGTGCAGAGAAGGCTGCTTCTCTTGCTGTTTGTTAGACTGGGATGCAAGTACAATACTCATCTCTTTTAAAAAGTAGTGTATCCAATCCTTGTGCTTTAACTCAGAATTATTATCTGATTAGTTGTTATCCCTACCATGACTCTTTGAGCTGGTGTAAAGGAGAGAGAGTATTACTTTCTAAGAAAGTTTAATTTGTATTCTTCCTACAATTTATTTATATTTGTAAAATTAAGTTAAAATACTATTGATTGAGTGAACGAATATTTTGAGTTACCTTAAAAGTCCCAATTAATATGCAAGTATCCTGAAAACACTCACCTAAAATTAGATTCCTCATTTAAGCAATTATTTCCCCAGACTCAAGTCTTGTCTTTATTCTGTTTCTCTCTTCTTATCTTTCTTGAAACTCGTCTCCACCAGGAGCTCAGCAGAGAAGAACCCCAAAACATATCACCAACTCCTGAACTTGCAGCGGGCTTGGTTTTACCCCATGCTTATATCAGGTCATATCAACAGCCTAGCAGGCCTACAGATGTCTCAGATGTAGTATTTGGGCTAAATGAACCCAAAGACCTATGAAGTACAACACTGTTATTTAAAATTATCTGTAACTCAAATTTGAATGGAATTGCCAATTCTTTGAATTATGCAGGATGAGCACTTCCCTGGTGATTCAATACAGCTAATGGCTGCCTCTATTTTGGTACAAAACATCTCAGAGGAGCTTGATTTTTATTATCATTATTTTTGATAAGCAGTCAAGTTTGTTAAATGATTTTAAAGTTTGTTTTATTGTGTGTGGGGGGAAGAATCTCCTCTACTCACGTCCTCCAAATTGTATTCATGATTGAGTAAAGAGGGTTAAGATAGGTCTGGTCTGTAACCATAAAATCAATGATTGAAACTTCTAGAATATTGAATTTGAGTACTGACTGTGATCTATAACTTGAACAAATACCATCCAATATTGTATAAGAAGATAACAAAACCATTGGTGAGTGCTCTAGTTGGTATAGATGAATCTCAAAACATCAATGAAAATACAATTATCTGGTGGCCAGAAACCACTTAAGTAATGGCCAATTTAATTCAGGAAACAGGCAGCAGCCTTTAAAGACACTTGCTTATAAAATATTTATTTTCCCTAAAAGCTTCCAGATGTATTCTTCCAGATCAGGGTCTTGGCAGTAAGAGGGGCAGCCAGTAAATTCATACACATTTGTGTCATTTTCACTCCTCCAAGTAAAAGCTCAAGTGAGTTTCAATGCAGTGTTGAAGTGCTAATTTTTCAATAAAACTGATGACCAACCATGTAGTGCCTGCCTAGGCCTCCGGTTTCCTCTGCGTTTCATTAACACATTCAAGTGCTTTTAGGGTTGGTTATCTCTCAGGAGGTAAATAAGGCACAGCCTTGGGCACTGTGAAGCTGGCACAATCAAGTAAAATGAAAGAGAGAAAAATTTGGACAAATACTTAGCTTCCCCTCTCCAAATAAATGTAACCCTTGAGAGAAATAAGCATAGAGGTACTGGACTTATTTATGTCTGAAGAGATGTGGACCAGTAGCAGCCACATGTAGGTAAAGCCTCTAAAGATTCCAGTCTGGTCCTGGTTATTGTAAAAGGCCAGCTGTTTTCACCTGAGCTCCAAAGCGTGCTGGTCATTCATCTATTGCAGTGTTTCCCAAACTTCTCTCGTGATGAGAATCACCTGGTGGAGTTGTTAAACTACAGATTCCTGAATCCCCAAAATTCTACTGTAGTTTAGCACTTCTTAGTTGGGATTCAGGAATCTGTATTTTAACAACTCCACCAGGTGATTCTCATCACGAGAGAAGTTTGGGAAACACCGATCTAATGTTACTGTGTAGTTGGAAGCTGTGAGGGTTAGGCAGTTGTGGCATATGGTGTCACAGAGGTAAAGGGTAGTATTCTATCCTAACACAGTGTCTGCTCAATAGGTGTTAAAAAAAACACACCCACCACAAAGAAAAAATGAACAAATGTATGAATAAAGCAACTGTAAGTCCCATACACATAATTTTGGAGTCTCTAGACTAGATATCCAAGATATTAGAGATACCACCACTCAACCTCACCTCCCTGGTAAATACCGTCTTTATCAAATGTGTTTGCCGTAGGGACCTGGAAGTTAAAAGGAGAAAAAAGAAGCGTCTTTCCCTCCTTTCTTTATTTTATTTTTATTTATTTATTTATTTATTTATTTATTATTATTTTTTTTTACAGAGAGGAAGAGAGAGGGATAGAGAGTTAGAAACATCGATGAGAGACATCGATTAGCTGCCTCTTGCACACCCCCTACTGGGGATGTACCCGCAACCAAGGTACATGCCCTTGACCGGAATCGAACCTGGGACCCTTGCGTTTGCAGGCCGACGCTCTATCCACTGAACCAAACCGGTTTCGGCTCCCTCCTTTCTTTAAACTAGGCAAGTGAGAAAAGCTAATTATTCCCTCAATGTGTGAAAGCAATGATATCTGCCTTGGGAATACTGCCGATAATAACAGGCTACACTCCAGGAAAGATAACACTTGGCCAGATCAGGACAATTTCAAAACATTGTTTTTGTTATATAAAAACAAAGACATTTAGAATTAACTTCTGACAATAAAACAATAATAAACCTTAAAATGACTGAAACAGAAATCGTCCCCACCCTCAGCAAAACCAATTTCAACAGCAAATCTTGAAACCTATCCTATCTAATAAAAGAGTGATATGCAAATTGCTGTCCCTCCAACACACAAGATGGCTGCTCCCATGTGGTCCAAGATCCTGTCCGCATGTGGACACAAGATGGCTGCCACAAGATGGCCAGCAGGGGAGAGCAGTTGGGGGAGACAAGACCTGCAGGGAGGGCAGTTGGGGCGACCAGGCTGGCAAGGGAGGGCAGTTAGGGGCAATCGGGCTGGCAGGGGAGCAATTAGGCATCAATCAGGCTGGCAGGAGAGTGGTTAGGGGATGATCAGATTGGCAGGCAGAAGTGGATAGGGGCAATCAGGAAGGCAGGCAGGTGAGCAATTAGGAGCCAGCAGTCCTGGATTGTGAGAGGGATCCCAGTTTGGAGAGGGCACAAGCGAGGCTAAGGGATACCCTCCAGCCCTATGCACAAATTCCTTGCACTGGGCCTCTAGTTATAAAATAAGAGAGAAGCCAGAGAAAGACGAGAATCACATGATCTCACTTATATATGGAATTTAATGAACAAAAATAATCTGACAAACAAAATAGATCCAGAGACAAGGAAGCATGAACAGACTGAGGATTCTCCGAGGGAAGGGAGTGGGGGAAGAGAAGAGACCAACTGAATAACTTACATGCATATAGGCATGACATTGAACACAGACAATAGTGGGGTGAAGGCCTGGGGATGGGACAGGAGTGGGGAAGAGGGGGTCACGGGGAGGGAAAAGGGGACATCTGTAACACTTTCAACAATAAAGATAAATTAAAAACAACAACAACAGAAGTGTGGGGAAAAAAGAGAGAAACTTCCTAGAATGAATTTATAATAGTGTTTAAGCACTCCTGTCTTTTTTTTCTTTCTTTTTTTTTTTTTTAATCTTTTTTTTAATCTTTTTTTTTCTTCCTTTTAAGCACTTCAGTCTTAATGGTGATGCAATGATTTCTTCTTTAATGATTAAAAACATTTTTTTTCTTCTTAAAAAAATGGGTCTTCTCATGACACATTTTAAAATATATTTTATTGATTTTTTACAGAGAAGAAGGGAGAGTTAGAGAAATAGAAAGATAGAAACATCGATGAGAGAGAAACATTGATCAGTTGCCTCTTGCACACCCCCCACAGGGGATGTGCCCGCAACCAAGGTACATGCCCTTGACTGGAATCGAACCTGGGACCTTTCAGTCCCCAGGCTGATGCTATCCACTGAGCCAAACTGGTTTCGGCTCATGGCACATTTTAAAGAAGAGGTCACGATATTCACAGACTTAAGAATCACTACTGCCAAACTGAATGTAAAAGACAATTTCATGCTGCAGACATGTGGGTTTTTAAGGTTACCCTAGAGTTAACTCCTACTATTCAATTCTCCTTTTGCTTAATATAGTTACATAGTAATATTTTATTTGCTCTATATTTTTTATATATATATATATATATATATATATATATATATACACACACACACACACACACACACACACACACATACACACATTATATATATGTATTTATTTTGAAAGCGGATAGGAGAGAAAGACAAAAGATTTGCAAAATGGAAAAGGCACACTGTATTGCAAAAATACTCACCACACAAAGGTAACTGTAGAGAGCAGCAGCCAGGTCAACCACTGGGAGGCTCAGGAACACTGAACTAAGTGCTCTGCTGCTTCAGCCTGGAGTTATAATCACCAAGGGTGGGGTTAGGGGTGGGGACAGTTAGGAGGTGGGACTGCAGGAAAGAAATCTTGCCAAAATAGTCTCTATTGCTTCTGCACTTAGGAATGTTGACACTGTATTTTGTCTAATTGCATTTATTTTTGTTACCTTTGCTTGATAACATCTCTCCCAAAGACAGCAAGATTTATTCAGGATTGGGCAAAAACACATTTTGTGAAGGCCCAAAGCTTGTATATTTACTTAGGATTTCTATAATTCATTTATTTCCTAAGGTATTTAAGGTTCTGGAAACATTTTTTGTTTGTTTGTTTGTTTTTTGTTAGTCCTCACTGGAGGATATTTTTCCCATTGATTTTTAGAGAGAGTGAAAGAGAGGGAGGGAGAGGGAGAGAGAGCAAGAGAGAAACATCAGTGCGAGAGAGACACATCAATTGGTTGCCTTCCTTCGGCACGCACCCAGAGTGGGGCTAGGGACTGAACCTGCAACCCTTTGGTGCATGGGCTGATGCTCTAACTACTGAGCACACTGGCCAGGACTTGAAACACATTTTAAAGTAAGAACTGGGCAGCTGGTCTTAGTTAGGTCTCAACAATGCTAAAGAGATATCCAACCTTCCTCTTGCCAGGTTACTGGGACTTTTGTTCAAAGCTGATGGCATGAGCAAGGGAAGACATTGTAGGATTAGGGGCAGAACAGGGACATGGCCACTAGCATGGTGGAGCCGCCGGTCTGGTGCCAGTGTGGAGCCTGAATTCTCAAAGGCAAGACTGACATCAGGGAGCTCCCTCAGGGGTAGCTCCACAGAGAGGGCAGGGTGAAGAGGGCGGGGCAGGGATGGAAAGGAGAGAATGGATTTAACTGAGAAATAGGAAACGGCAGTTCTTAGGAACTGGGCAGAGGGATGGAAAGGGAATGAATCACTCAATGAATCATTAGGAAGGCACATAGACATGTATTATTGTATATAAAAACCTTAATGGTTTTTGGTGTGGACAAAACAATGTGTTAGTTTAGCTGAGGTTAAAATGTCCTTCGTTCCTTGGAGTGATTCTTACTAGTTGTGTTTTCTTTCATGGGTTTGAACATAAGATCCGAATGACTCACATCGACTGAAACTTTGTTTTATCTTCTCCCTGGTCAGACCTGTGTGCAGAGGGTGTTGTTCCTGGAGGTGGAAGGTAGTGGAAAGGGATCCTGGGTGCTTATCTCAAAGTCTACTAACATTCACACATACCACATAGCAGAACACTCTCTATTTCTGCATAATAAATGCTGTCTGTCTTATTTCAAGAGACTGTGTGTGAGTAATAACCACTCACTAATGTGTTTAGGCACTAGACCAAGGAGGTAGGCAGCAAAGGTCCCTATCTTTGAAGAGCTCACACGTGGAACGGGCAGCCTGTATAGAAAATATGCTTGGGCAGAAACCAGTTTGGCTCAGTGGCTAGAGTGTTGGCCTACTGACTGAAAGGTCCCAGGTTCGATTCCAGTCAAGGGCATGTACGTTGGTTGTGGGCACATCACCAGTGGGGGTTGTATAGGAGGCAGCTGATCGGTTTCTAACTCTATCCCTTTCCCTTTCTCTCTCTGTGAAAAATCAATAATATCTATATCTATCTATCTATCTATCTATATATATATATATATATATATATATATATATATATATATATATATATAGAATATGCTTGGGATCTTACGGAGCAAGAGGTCATCAAATTCTAGGCCACACTATAAGGATCTTGGGCAAATGTCTTCCTTTAAAAAAGCTGTGCCTTATTGAGTGCCTATTATGTGCCAAGCACAAAATCATTTTATTTTGTGAATCTATCAAGATACAGCTTTACCACTTGATATTCATAGAAACTCCAGTTGCCCAAGGACCCTATGTAGATAATTTGGTCTGTGTCAAGAGCCACACATACCTGTCCTGGACACTTTTCTCTGGGAATTGGTCACCAGCCACTACTTCTACCCATTTCTCAGTCCGTCAGCTGAGATTTGGCCATTAAATGAAATTAATAATGTGACACCAAGCCTATGTTTCTCAGAAGTTCATGGTTTTCCATCACACTCATGTGCTGCTTAACAATGGGGCTAGCTTCTGAGAAATGCACCATTAGGTGATCTCTTCATTGTGCAAACATCACAGAGTGCACAAACAGAAACCTAGGTGGTGTAGCCCACTGCAGATCTAGGCTCTCTGGGGTAGTCTATTGTTCCTGGGCTACAAACCTGCACAGCATGTGACTGCATGAATACCGTAGGCAATTGTAAGGCATTGCAATGTGAATTTAGGACAGCTACTATGTCTCTAGGCTGTAGAAAATGTTCAGTTCTGTCCTGGCTGGTGTTCCTCAGTGGATAGAGCATCTTCCTGTGCACCAAACGATCACAGATTCGCTTCCCAGTCAAGGTCATGAACCTGGGTTGCAGGTTTGATCCCTGGCCCCAGTTGGGATGCATGCAGAAAGCAACCAATCCATGTGTCTCTTTCATATCAATATCTATCTTTCTCTTCTCCCCCCTACCCTTCCCTTCCACCCTCTCTAAAAATCAATGGGAAAAATACCCATGGTGAGAATTAAAAAAAATAGAGAAAGTGTTCAGTTTTATTATTATCTTACTAGAGGCTCGATGCAGGACATTTGTGCAAGAGGCTCGTCCCCTGCTGCCCCCTCGGCCCCCTCTGCCTCAGACCCAGCCTCAGTGGTTTCTTTGGGAAGGTCGTCTGGTCTAATTAGCATATTACACTTTTATTATTACAGATGGGATCACTGTGGTTTATGCAGGTGGGTCCTTGGCTGAAACATCATTATGCTGTGCCTGACTGTACTCTCAATAACAAAATAGTGATAAAGTCATCAACACCACCGGACTGTGGTGAGCATTAATTGAGATAATAGGGGAGAGAGCCTGGATACACGGAAGATGTTCAATGGAGAGCTGTGTTTCAATACTCCCCTGGCATTCCTGCTCTTCCTCAGGACAAGGCTCTGGTTTTTTTCCTTCCAGAGTCCCCTGTGTCTCCCTCTCCTCCATAATACATCTCAGGCGCCTTGCTCCACAGCGGGACCCTGAGCCCTCGGAAGAAGTGCAGGGCTTTTTCACTAGCATGACCTCAAAGTTGGGGCCAAGCCAGACAAAGGCATAAGAGTTCAGGATCACATGAGATAACATGAAATGTCTTTGGAATTATGGTCTGTGACAGCCACACAAGAGCAGGAAAAGAATGTAGAAGTAATTCAGGGGTCAATTGCATTGTATGGAAAGGAGATGGATTCAGGGTTTGGGGCTTTTAAGCATTTATACCGATCAAGTAGTTTTAAAAAAGGCCCACCTGGTCATCTGTGATGGGGTAAAATCAGCCCTCCAGGTCCTATGTTCTAGTGTCTGTTTCTTTTTTCATTCATTAAACAAACATAGGGTGTCCCAGAAAATTTATACAGATTTTACTAGCTGTAACTCAGTTTTGAAAATGAAATGTATTTTTTTAATTTAATAAATCTTTATTCAGATTATTACAATTGTTCCTTTCCCCTGCCCCCCATTGCTCCCCTCCACCCAGTTCCCACCCCACCCTCTGTCCTTACAGTCCTCATCTATAGGTGTATGATTTTTGTCCAGTCTCTTCCAGCACCCCCACACCTCTTTCCCCTTGAAAATTGTTAGTCCACTCCTGTTCTATGCCCCTGATTCTATTATATTCACCAGTTTATTCTGTTCATCAGATTTTTTATTCACTTGATTTTTAGATTCACTTGTTGATAGACATGTATTTGTTGTTCATAATTTTTATCTTTACCTTTTTATTCTTCTTCCTCTTCTTAAAAAATACCTTTCAGCATTTCCTATAATACTGGTTTGGTGGTGATGAACTCCTTTAGTTTTTTCTTGCCTGTGAAGTTCTTTACCTGCCCTTCAATTCTGAATGATAGCTTTGCTATCAATGTATAGAATAATCTTGGTTGTAGATTCTTGCTATGCATCACTTAGAAAATTTCTTGCCACTCCCTTCTGTCCTGCATAGTTTCTGTTGATAAATCAGCTGACAATCTTATGGGTGCTCGCTTATAGGTAACTAACTGTTTTTCTTTTGTGGCTTCTATGATTCTCTCTTTGTCTTTTGCTCTTGGCATTTAATTATGATGTGTCTTGGAGTGTTCCTCTTTAGACTCCTTTTGTTTGAAGTTCTGTGTGCTTCCTGGACTTGTAAGTCTATTTCTTTCATAAGGTGGGGGAAGTTTTCTGTCATTATTTCTTCAAATAGGTTTTCAGTATCTTGCTCTCTCTCTTCTTCTGGCACCCCCATAATTCAGATGTTGGTACTCTTGAGGTTGTCCCAGAGGCTCCTTACAATATCTTCAAATTTTTTGATTCTTTTTTCTTTTCCAGTTGATTATTTTTTGCTTCTTTGTATTTCAAATCCTTGACTTGATTTGTGCGGTCCTCTAATCTGCTATTAGGTTTATAATATTTTTTATTTCAGTCAGTGTATGTTTAATTTCTTATTGGTCCTTTTTAATATCCTCAGGGTCTTGCTAAATTTATTGGCCTTTTCTAGGAAATTCTTGAAAAACCTTATAACATTGGTTTTGTATTTTGTATCCAGTAGTTTGCTTTCCTCCATTTCTTCCATTTGTGATCTGTTTCTTTGTCTCTGCATTTTTGCTGCTTCCCTGAGTTGGTAGAGTAGCTTTGTGTGGTAGGTGTCCTATATGGCTTAGTGTCCCAGTCTCCCCCAATTACCTGATGTGGACACTTTTGGTGCACCCCTTTGTGGACTGTGTGTATAGCTTTTTTGTAGTTAAGTCTTGATTGTTGTTGGTATCACTGGGAGGAATTGACCTCCAGGCCAATTGGCTGTGAGAATCAGCTGTATCTATGCTGGGAGAGCTTCGGTGCTGGAGACACCCTTATGGGAGAAGACTCTTAAAAGCCTCTGTGCTCGTTTTGAATGGGATGGAGTCTCAGGATGGAGCAGACAGCCTTGGCTTCCTGTCAGCTCTGCCCTATGAGGCTCCTGGATCTCAGTGTTCCTCGATAATTGCTGCAAGC